CACTTTAGTCAAATTCTATTTCAGGTTTGTTAAAATTAGCAGAGTGACATTGTCACCCCACAATTTCTCCCTTCCCAGAGGCTCTGTCCTCTTAGCTTCTTTTAAGCTAAATTATGCTGACATTCACTTCCCTCTCTCTAAATAATGCCTATTTGGCCACTTCTTGATTTTTCCATTTTAGTTTGACTTCCCACCAGAAGAGGTTCAGAATCAACCTTGAAAAAAAATTTTTTAATCCTGTCCCGAGGATATATTTTCCATTGCTTTCCAGAGAGTGGAAGGGAGAGAGACACATCGATTGTGATCGAACGAAGGACCCTTCAGTCCTTCAGCTGATACTCTAACCACAGAGCCAAACCAGCTGGGGCTGAATTTTTTGTTTTATTTTTTTCATTTCATGATACTTATCACTGATCCAACCCCCAGCCCTTCTCCAATTGTCTGAACCAGTGCTTCTCAAATTCTCTGAGGCACGCTAATTGCTTTAGGGGACTCATTGAAACCTAGACCGTGGGGTCCCACCCCAGGAGTTTCTGATGCAGGAGGTCTGGGGTGGGGCAGGAGATTCTGCATCTCTACCAAACTCCAGGGTGATGACTCCCCAGCACCACAGACAATGATGAGGGACCATGTCTCTGAGTCAGGCAGGCCTGGGTGAAAACATCCCAGCTCCATCTCTCACTATCAGGGTGCCTGGGCCCCCCACCCCTCCCCTACAGCAGAAATAATTAGTTATGAAGAAAACTGACAGTGCATTTTTTACTCCCCAAATCATGCCCTCACAATTAATAACCACCTAGCCATATCATTAATAAGTTCACCACTATACTTTAATAACAACAGTAAAACAATTATTCTTTATACATACACTGATTTGTAGCACAGTTCTTAGTGTAATTCTCTGAGCTCCTGTTTTCTCATGTGTAAAATGGGGATGATAATAGTTTTCATCTGCTTGATCAATATTGTCAAATATTTATTGTTTCTAGGTAAAAGGTTCTGTGTTAGGTACCGGGAATATATTAATAGTAAAAAACAGGTCCCTAACTTAATGGAGACATTGCATACAAAGGCTTTCGCACTGAGACTAGCATTTAATAATATTATTATGTACTATAAGTAACATTATACATAATATTTTTACATTGTATATTAATATTAATTACATAATATGTAAATTTTATTAATAACATTATGTCTATCATAATACATACAACTTTATATTGTGCATAATGAAAATTAAACTTTATCAGATTGTAATTAGTACTTATATTAAAATAGTTAACACAATAATGTGTTACTTATAATATGATGATAAGTAACTTAATCATAAATATTGTTTATATTTCATCTGTAATATTAATGCCATTGCAACGCTAAGCGACTGGCATGGCCCTGCCCTTCCACACCCTGGGCGCACGGCG